TGGGGTAGGAGGAGTGGAGAGGGAAGGGTTACTGGGGTAAGGAGGAGTGGAGAGGGAAAGGATCACTGGGGTAAGGAGGAGTGGAGAGGGAAAGGGTTACTGGGGTAAGGAGGAGTGGAGAGGGAAAGGGTTACTGGGGTAAGGAGGAGTGGAGAGGGAAAGGGTTACTGGGGTAAGGAGGAGTGGAGAGGGAAAGGGTTACTGGGGTAAGGAGGAGTGGAGAGGGAAAGGGTTACTGGGGTAAGGAGGAATGGAGAGGGAAAGGGTTACTGGGGTAAGGAAGAATGGAGAGGGAAAGGGTTACTGGGGTAAGGAGGAGTGGAGAGGGAAAGGGTTACTGGGGTAAGGAGGAGTGGAGAGGGAAAGGGTTACTGGGGTAAGGAGGAGTGAGGAGTAATTCATCATGTCTCCTCTTTCTCTCTTCCCCTGCTTCTCATTGTAGATGTGTTATTAGTCCACTTAGTGCAAAGGATTAAATTTCAATGGACATTAATGTAATGAGATACTTGCTGCTGCAGCTGACTTTAAAATGGTTAATAACAGGACTGCACCTTTATAATTATTATACTTAGCAAAAACTATAATTATGCAGCATAAAAGTCTATTATTATTAGTTTTATGATAGTTCCACTAATCTATTTCAAACTAATCTTGCTATAACAACTCACTATCTACTACTAATTACATGTACAGTACTGTGAAGTGGTGTATGGACCATGCCCCTAGTATCAGAGCTCAAAAGGTGATTCTTCTCTTATGTCCTCTATTGGACTGACTACACTGTGTCGTATGTCCTCTGTTTGACAGGCTACCTCATGTCTCACAACTAAACCCTGCCTCCTGTGTTCTTCTGACGCTTGTTGAAGCTGAGTGGACTGTTCCTCAGTTGCACTGTCCTGATACTATTAAAAGAAGAATACTGAACATGCAGTATAGACTATAGGTATACCTTATAATGTGGTAAAGATTTAGCTCTATGCAGTGGAAAGAAATCAATAGATTCATTACCTTCATCTTTGACCTGATGTTAAAAGTAATGTTAATTTAGCTAAAGTATTTCTGTACTTGTTCATAAACATATTTCTCCAGAGCATTATGCTCATTTTGAGGATGATCTTTCACATGTATAATGAAGCGTATGTAATCCCATATGCTATGCTCCTCTTTCACATGCTTTTGAAAATCCTACAAAACATTATGCTACTTGACATGCGATAATTCTTGTTACTTTTTTATTCTTTTGAAACTCAGTTCTTGGTATGCTGCAAATAAAACAATTTTTCTCTTCATCCTTCTCAACATTATCCTAGAAATTTATTTATTGATCAAGATTATTATTTTTGCCCTAATTACCAAATGGCTTTTAGCATCTGAAAACCTGTCAGCTACAAGGATTGCAAGAACAATGTTTAAGCCCAAAACAATGATCACAATATACAAG